AAACCAGCTTTTTATCCTTTCACATAAACTGCTCAAAAAACGAAGAATTTTTAACAACGAGGGTTTCTTGATCCAGCATCCTTAAACCTAGGATTTCACAATCACATCACACAAAACGAATACTAAATCTAACGAGCAAAACAAACGCGAAGAGAAAAATGGATCCAGACTCTCACTCTATGCTTCTCGATTGATCGATCAACTAATTCTAGTCAATTAAAAGCCGAAGTAAAATTTCACTGGACAGCAAAGCTAGGATTTTTCAATCCATGTAAATCTAGGGTTTCCCGCGCTAAACGAAAGCGAAAAACAAAAATGGATCAAGAATCTCACTCAACGCCTCTCTCTGAATCTCCTCGAACGGAATGGGACACGGGAGATCAAAGTAATCGACCTTCTCCGGTTTCTTATCCATCTTCTCGTCCGCCGCCTTCGCCGGCGGNGCGGTGGCGAAGGAGGCGCGGCGCCGTGACTCACTGACGATCCCATCGATCGATCTCAATAGAAATGATTCGGTTTTCAAAGTAGAGGGTTCAATTGAGAGCTAGGGTTTCTATTTCTCTTTCTTCCCCTTTTTCGAGGTTTTCTCGAGGGGAAGTGAGGAGCTCAAATTGGGAATCTCCTGTTTCTTGCGGCCGATGGCTGTGAGAGGTTTAGTGAGGGGTTTCTTTTTTTTTTCTTTTTTTTTTTTCTCCGTTAACCTGTGAGTCTTGATCGGCGCATGTACACCGAGAGCATACGGTGTGGCGTAGTTTGTTGCATTCACCGGGCAATCTTGTACTTGTGGAGCAAGTATTTCCATTCTCATTTTCTTATTTGAAAATTACCTATTTAGTACTTAAATACCTTATAGTTTTCGTATTTCGCACTTATACATCCTCGCTTGTTTTCTCCCGCACTTATATTCTCTGAAGCTTTTTAAATATCGCACTTTAATAGGTTCCGTTATGCAAACGTGAGAACATTCTCCTGAGAATACACATGTGATATTATAGACCTTTACATCAGAAGATATAGCGTAAGATGTATAAGTTGTATATCGATAATAGAAGGACTAACATTTACATAGATAGAAATGCATATTAAAAAAATGGTTTAATTGCATATAGACCCTCTATAGTATTGTTGTTTTGAATTTAGTATCCCTCTAGTTTTATTGTTGTAGATAGACCCCTCGAGTGAATTTTTTTTGGACTCTCATTTACTCTCTATAGAAAATTGTTTTTAAACAAATAAACCCCAGAGGGTAAAAGGAGTAATTAAAAAAAAAACCCCACTCTGGTTTCTATCAGCCACAACAATCCTAGAGGGGTAGTATATTAAGCTCAAAGCAGCAACGGTGCTGCAGGGTTGAATCCGCAGTTAACCCTACAAAGGGAGATGAGATCTATTAATTAAACTAGAGATTTGCACAAGGTCTTATTACTTTCTATGCAACGGCAGATTCCCTAGTAACAAAACTATGTTATGTCATCACTGAGCATGTTGTTCACAGTGACAGCATGATCTCCTCATCCTACATCCCCAGGTACTTGCAGCTCTCGGTCTACTCTTCAAACCCTCAATCTGAGACTCCCACCCTCCAAACTTACCTCCACCCTTTCCTCCACTAATCGCAGAATCATACTCCGAACGAAGCGTAGGATCAGAGAGAACCTCATATGCTTTTCTGGCCTTGACGAACTTTTCGGCGAACAAGTGCCTGTTGCCATAAGGAGGACATACATCAGGATGCCATAATCGCGCTTGTTTCTTGTATGCTGCTTTTATTTCATCAACACCTGCCGTCTCTCTTACCGATAAAAGATCGTACATGGTGGACGAATCTACAGTTAGATCCTGTGGACGAACTTTTGATGAGACCGAGATGGGAGATTTCTTGAATGAGTACATGAGTTTAGGGAGAGGAGAACCAAATGGATGTTGAGATTGCATTTTTTGGCTTTGTGGTCTACCAAAGGAGAAGAAATTTTTGATGCTAGACCTGTCTGCGGAGTGATTGTTTATATAGTACTTTTGGTTGCTTTAGGTTGGGTCAATGTTGTTTAAACTTGGGTTAATTGCGGATAGACGCCATGTGCTATCGCCCGGTTGCTGACTGAACCTATGTAACTCTATGGTTGCGGATAGTCCCCTCGAGTGAAGTTTCTTTGACTCGTTTACCCTCAGGAGGTCTATTGTCAAAGAACAATTTCCTTGAGGGTGAAAGAGTTGAAAAAAAAATAACTAAAGGGATCTGTCTGCAATTGGCCGATAGTACTAGGGGTCCTATCCGTAATTAGCTCTTTAAAATTGAGGGGCACTACAGGCACACCATCAACCACACCTCCTCTCCTGCTACAGTGCAGCGGGCCCCATATGAAATTTTTTAAAAATTTTCATATGGGTCACTGCACTGTAGCAGGAGAGGAGGTGTGGTTGATGTTGTGGTTGATGGTGTGCCTGTATTAATTTCCTTTAAAATTTGACTCGTTCCTCGAGTTACTTTTGTTTCTTCTGACGAGACAAATAAGGTGCACAAAGTGGATAGGCTGATAACCGCAGTTGCAATATAATTTCAGGTTGACTTAGTGTATGAGAATTTTAAATTTGATATGATTAAGCATCTGAAAATAACTTCTGAATATAGTTAGCAATCTATAAACATGAGCCATAACCTATAAACTAAGCTGGATTAGACTCCTAGTTATCGATCGATTAGTTACTGTCACTGTCCACGTATCTTTAGCATGACATCGTACTGTGAATCAGAGCATTTTTAATCCCCTTTTTTTAGAAAATAGAACGAGTAGTTTATTTGATAATCTACGTGTTGGAGCACGTGAAGAGATGCTTGTGGGGGCCACAAGCTTTGGAGAATTGAAATTGTCCAGCGGAGAATTGAAATTGTCCAGCGGTTCCACCTCGAAAGCCAGGCCCACCTGATTAACCTCCAGGCTATAAAATAGGAATAGACTTTAACCTAGGGTTTTTGGCGTGCGAAGGAGGGTGAGCAGTTCTTTTTCTTTGGCGGCTGCGCGTGTGCAAGTGTGGGGGCTGATTTGGACGCGGAAGCAGAGGGGAGAAGTTAAAGAGGCGGCCTGCAGAGCTGTTCAAAGGCAGAGAGCAAGTGCAAACAGGAGAACGCAGAAGTAGGATGTTCTTTGGCTTGTTTGGTGGCTGTTCTTGGGTGTTGACGGCTGTATTTTTGTGTGAGGCTTTTGAGAGAGATAATTGTGTGAGGGTTTAGATTGAGTGGTTGTAAACCCTAGTTGTATTATCTCCCTCTAATAGTAGATCCCCCCCCCCTCCTTGCCCGAGAAACAAGAATTCTTATCGATCTTTCTCTCTTATTGTGCACCAGAAACTCTGCCGAAATTTCCGCTGCGCACAACAAGTGGTATCAGAGCCCAGATTCCAGATCTAGGGTTTGGTTGGAGGAGTAGATCAATTTGGAGGCCCGTTTAGGACTTCGTTGGTGATAAAGGTGGGATCTTTTGGTAAAGACTCTATCTTTCAGTTTTGGATCTATTCTTTGTTCGTTGGTGCGTAAGATGTCGGGGAAAGAAGGTGCTTCGGGTGTCGAGGGTGGTGCTTCTGGCGCGAAGACCATTCAGAGTTTGAATATCCACTCTATGAAGATAGATGTGGAGAAGTTTAATGGCACAAACAATTTTGGATTATGGAGATGCGAGGTTTTGGATGCGCTAAACGCGCAGAATTTGGAGGATACTTTGGAATTAGATGACACGCCAGATGAGATTGAAGAGAATGTTTGGAAAAAGATGAATCGAACGGCGTGTGGTGTGATTAGGTCTTGAGCCAGATGAGATTGAAGAGAATGTTTGGAAAAAGATGAATCGAACGGCGTGTGGTGTGATTAGGTCTTGTTTGACTCAAGATCTAAAATATGATGTGATGAATGAGACTTCTGCGAAGAAGATTTGGGAGATTCTCGAAAGCAAGTATTTGGCCAAGAGTGTGGAAAATCGCTTGCATTTGAAGAGGAGGCTTTATCGTTTCCAATTAAAAAATGGAACCTCCATTAGAGATCACATGAACCACTACACGAAGCTTCTTGCGGATTTGGCGAATGTGGATGTCATAATTGAGGATGAGGACAAGGCGTTGCTGTAGACGGTAAAAAATACCTCTATAGGCTTACAGGAAATGCGCCTGCGAGAAGAGCTCACCCGCTCGGTTCTCTGGCACGGGCCTAAATCGCATAGACATCAGATATGTTCGATTCTGGGTTCGCCTTACGGTCGGCTCGCCAGCACAAGTTAAGATCGATCAGGATGGCGGAGGTTCGCCTTTCACCCAACTCGCCTGCCCGAGTTCAGAGGTCGAATCCGCCAGTAATCTCAAGACCGCCAGTACAGCTGGGTATCCGCTACCCCACGTGCTGAGTTGGACTTTCCCATCCCTCTCGACCCGAGGGAAGAGAGAGCACAGTACCCCAAGACCGTCAAACGGCCGCTCGCAGTACGCACAGCGCGAAGGACTGGACAGGTGTCGAGTCAACCTGAGCATTCATAAATGCGGCTCACCTCGGCTGTCTGAGTCAAGAGCTAGATCCGCCGGCACTCAGCAAGTTGGCTAGACCCACTCGAGTACTGTGCACCTACTTCGCCGCCTCTCCTGACCGGAAAGGAGAAAGCACCGTGCTCAAAGCACGCCGGGCGGTCACGCACAGTACGAGTGATCGGACAGACACTTCATCGATCTGCGAACTCATAAATGCGGTTCATTAATGCTGGTCAAGTCCACTCGGATAACAGACGGCCGTTGTCTCATATTCGCTCTCCTCGGCTGTCTGAGTCAAGAGATAGATCCACCGGCACTCAACAAGTTGGCTAGACCCACTCGAGTACTGTGCACCTACTTCGCCACCTCTCCTGACCAAATCAGCCCCCAGACTTGCACACGCGCAGCCACCAAAGAAAAAGAACTGCTCACCCTCCTTCGCACGCCAAAGTACAGCGGCCGGTCATGGGACGTGCTCTTGATGAGCATGTCCTCAGGGGTGAAAGTGATGCAGGGGATCTGTCTCTCTGAAACTTGGCAGCAAGTTGTACAACCCTGTTCGGTCCCCGTTTCTTTTGAGAAATGGGTCGAGAACGCCTCTGCGTCGGCCAACGCCTCTTGTAGGGCTTCCCGGGTAGGCCTAGACAACCGGAGGAGGTCGTACACGGTGATTCGCGCGGGTATGCTTTTCAATTGCGCGAGCACGTTGAACCGGTAAGGCTGGCGGCTTGAACTTGGTCCATCTGGATTGGGAGGGACTGCTGCGGCCGGCCTCGCGGGAGGTCCTGCTGGGTTTTCCGCCCTCGCGGGATATTGCTTCGCAAACTCCTTTCCGGCTCTCGTGGCGAAGACGTTGGTGTCTTCTTCAGAGTCGGTTAAGGCAGTCATCGCCGCGTCCTACCGGGTTTTCTCCCCTTGCGGGGTATTCTTTCGCGAACTCCTTTCCGGCTCTCGTGGCGAAGACGTTGGCGTCTTCTTCAGAGTCGGTCAAGGCAGTCATTGCCACGTCATCTCTATCCAGAATGGCGGAGACAGCGTTGCAATGTTTCCTCCTAGCCTCCTTGGAAGGCTGTGTAGTCCACTGCTCGTCATCGAGGAGGTCTGGATGGACCCACATCACCTGCCCTGATGGCAGAGTTTGTGGAACCAAACCCTTTTCCCGTTGGTTGTGAGGATCGTCGTTAGTGATCTTCAAAACCGCCTTGGGAATAGGAATTATCCCCGCCGGGGCTTGAACCTCTGGGAGACCTGTCCCAAAACTCAAAGTGACCATGTTCGCCGTCACTTGCTTTTGGACCTTCTCTTTCTTCAAGACCCCCGCGTCGTAGAGGGCCTGGAGTTTGTCCTTGAGGACGTAGCACTTGGTTGTGTGGTGGCCAAGGAATCTGTGATATGCACAGTAACTTGGGTCACCGGTTTTGTCCGCCTCCTCCGGTTTGGCGGCTTCTGGCAACTTAATTCGCCCACTCTTGAGTAGAGTGTCGAGAGTCGCCACTACCTGGTCTTCTTTGAAATCATATTGCCGCTGGGGGCGTGGTTCAAATTGCCTGGGTTTCGGCTTTTGAACGAACTTTGGCGCCGCGGCAGAGTCTACGGCCATAGCCTCTTTTCCCTTCGATCGAGGAGGGTTCTTTGGCGCCGCTGGTTCTGCTGCTCCCTTTTTGGACTGTGGCTCTTCGGCCTCCAGCCTCTTGATCATATTTTCAACTTGCTCGCCTTGGCGAACAAGTTCCTTCCAAGTCCGGGTTTCAACTGCCCCTATTTTGGACAGGATGTGGATTGCCAGATTGTTGCGGCACATCTCAATCAGTGTCGCCTCGGAAACTTGGTCCCGACAGTGAACTGATCGATTCCGAAATCTCTTCACGAAGTCGTTGACCGACTCCGACTTCCGCTGCTTCTCA